GCCCACACTGAGGCCCAAAGAGCGGAAAAAGATTTTTCTGAGACCCCCCTCCCCGCTTACCTGAAGGTCTAGATCCGCCACTGCCAATTGTCTAGGCGCTTGCGTAGGCCGGCAGCAGCGCAATGCTATCTGCCATCTAACACATCTCAAAATCTCAAATGTTCTGATGTTGTTCTTACATTTTCTTTGACGATAGGCAAGAGATTGTTGTTGTTGTTGTTGTTTTTTTTTTGTGGATATTCATTTGGTTCACTTGACATGCAATGTACTGTATCCAGAATAATAAAATAAGCAGACAATTAGCGTGCAAGAAGTTGTATGATTGTTTGTATGTAGAACAATTGTCACATGGGAAAGTTGCACCACGGTGCTGACCTTTGCAAAGCGTAAAATCTAATAGGCCATTTCCAAGTTGCCTCAAGCCTCTCTTTCAAGGCGAGGCTAAGTGCGAAGCCATTGACACGAAAATGGTTTTTATTCAAATGCAAATAAAACTAATTTTCACAAAAAGGGGTTTTGCGCTCAGTCTCGTTTCGAATGACGAGAGTCTTTGGAACTTGTTGCCTATTGTAAATAATTGTGTTACTACTAACGTCGTCAAATTCTCCCTAGATCTCCAGCACCTGGTACCGCTACTGCTCGATCCAGATCTCCCTCCCCCACGCGGACAAATGGTTCCTCCACTAACGGCAAACAGAGTGTTAAAACTAAACTACAGCTTGTCGACTTGGCCGGAAGTGAATGTGTTGGTAAGAGCCTTATTAAGACCAGGAATTTTTAATTTCAAATTGAGGGTGCTATGATTGAAAGAATTAATCGCTAGTTGTGGGTTTATGATTAACTTGGCTTCAACTGTAAGTTCTTACACCCTGCGATAACTGCGCTGAATTTGATTATGAGCTTGGCAAAAAGACAAGTTTTAGCTACATCCCAAGAGCTAGCTCGTGCTATTTTAATATTTAATCGTGTTTATTTTCGCCAGTCAAGAACGCTGGGTTTTAAACTAGCAAAGCAAGTCTTTGGTCGGCCAAATCTAAGAGCCACTTAACAAATTAACTCTAGAGATCATAATGATATTTTTTAGAACGAATAGTTTCTGTATCTTTTGCATTCTTCTTTAGTTTTGATAGTTACGCCTTGCATGACCAAGTCCTGAACTAATCGTAGTCTTCTGTTATGAGTTCACAAACTGGACTTTGAATAATAAGTTGAATAACATATATATATTTTTGTTTATTTATTGTGTTTTGCTGGATTTAAGGAATGTCTGGAGTAACTGGAGCAGCGTTAAGAGAAACTTCGCATATCAATAAAAGGTATGTATAGGTCTTGCTTCCTTGTTGTTGTTTTGTTTTGTTGTTTGTGTTTCTTGGACAATTGATTACAACTGATTACAATTTAGTCTCGTTTCTTGCGTGTCGATTTCAGTGCAGAATATTTAGTCAGTCTATACGCCGAAATTTGCAATATCATAGTGTTCTAAAGTACTGAATGAAACCCCGTTACAACTCCAGTCGTTTGTGATATCTGTGGTTGGTTGTTATGTGATGTACCTCAATTCAGACCTGAGTGAATGCCGTCCGTGAGTGTGAAGACTTTCCTCGATGGCCACCTCGTTCCCAGGGTACTCTCGGCGTTCCTGCGGAGCGAGAGATGAGTCGGAAAGTACCCAGGGAAAGAGGTTACCCTCGATGGATCTTGATGTATCCAGTCTACAGTATCTTTAAAACAGGCAGTGCAGCTGATGTTACAGTTAAAACAAGGGTGTTGGGACGTAATTTACGAGCGTGGCTATTATTTCCACCCCCTAAAACAAAACCTGTACTTGAAAATAACACTAGTTATTAGGTTGGCCACAAGGTCAGGCACACTTGCACCTTATAGATTCTACTGATGACTCATTTGAAAATTGAATCCGTTAGTCGTTGCCATCATAGAATTTTATCCATCCAAAGACTTTTCATTCGGACCAAATTCTTAGAAGTAGTAGACGGCCTCATTTTAGCCGAAACTTCACGGCTCATTATGCTTTCAGGGATGCAGATTTAAATTTGATCCCAGTAGTGCAACGCCAACGGAATCAGTTTTGAAATAGTGAATTCTTTTACAGAATCTATACGGGTGCTCTTGATTAAGTTTGATTATTATTGTATTAGATAATGAAACCAACTTCATAAGATTTAACGGTGTGGGTCTCCTTGACTTGTGATAAACTCCGTCTGGGTATCTCAAGTCCCATTCAAACAGATTCAGTGTTTTGGATTGACTGAAATCATTCAAAACTGAAAGATTCATTTGATTAGTCGCATGGTGCAAACACGCCATACTGCAGAGAGAGCGAAATGTAGCGAGAAAAAAGGGAAAAAGCTGAAACTGAAAAAATAAATCTCTCCCGCCGCGTGTCGCCTTTTCTCTCGTGGGGTGATTTTCATGCGTGCTCGCGTTTGGCTCGCTCTACTATCCCTGAGGAAAAATGGGGGACTACTCGTAGTCTAGGTTTTGCTACGATGCTCGGTTTTTCATGTGATATGTTTAAATACAGAGAACTGATTTGTTTCGAATTCTCACCCAACAACGTTTCTTTTGTTGCTATACTTTACCGAATTAACGCGCACTTAATTATGATTTGCGTTGATCGGTGCTACGTTCCGGTTTCGAACATCCGACATCGGTAATATAACCCACCAGTGTTGGGTCAACAATTCTGCCGGAGCTATTTTAACGGGTACTTTGTTTCGTTACAGTTTGAGCGCCCTGGCTGATGTACTAGGAGCATTATCGGAACAGGGCTCTCACATACCTTACCGTAACACCAGACTCACCCACATGCTGCAGGATACCATTGGTAGGTTTGTTTAGTCTGGTGTTAATGTGCCAGTTGTGGAAACTTTTAAATGTATACATTCACGTGGCCTACTGCTAACCTATAAGCGTTACCATGGGAGTGGAGAACATAAATGGCACAAATAAAAGGTCTAATGAATCCGTGGATTTAGTTGTAGGGTGATTGGTCCTCGTCAAAACAGTTACAGTTATCTCAACCTTACCAGAGCGCGAAAAATTAAAGGGCCCCATCAAGTTATCTGGCTTCTTTGAAAACCGGGATTCGGGACTACAGGGAAAAGAGAAAGAGACAGTTTCGGGGTTCGGCGAACACAGGATTTATAGATTCTGCGAATTATATTTCGGGAATTGTAGTTTAAAGAACAAAGATTTGGTAAGAAAAGTCACTTGCATTCTCTCAAATGTCGTTTATTTTGATTTAGCATAAGCTGCCCACGTTTTCTTCGACACGTTCTTGCGTCCATGGTAACTGCACCCCTATATTC